AGCCTCCTAACTGCTGCAATTACAGATGTGGGCCACCTCACCTGGCCCCTGGTATACTTTTTGAAATTAGATTTTATTAGTTCATTTTAGATATACATAATGATCACATTTGTCATAGAGAAGTTGTACCTATAGATGGTGTAACTTGTTTTTCCCCATCCCCCTACCCTCCTCCCTTTCCCATTTATAAAGCTTTGTTTCCATGTTTTCCTTCTTTTCTCATGCTTTTAATTTTTAATTTTTCCTCTTCTTTCCTTTCCCCCTTCCCTTACCTTGTTCCCCTCCCCATTTGAACATTTTCCTCCTATTTCACAATACCTATTATATGTTTTGGTACTTATTTACACTTTTAATTACTCACACCAGAGAAACAATGTGGTGTTTACACATGTGCATCTGATTTATTTCACTTAAGAGTATGGACTCAAGGTGCATCCATTTTCCTAGAAATGTCTCAAGTGTATCTTTTTTATGGCAGAGTAGTACTCCATTGTATAAAAAAAACATATCTTCTTTATTCATTCACCATTTGATGGGATCTTGGGTTGTTTCCAAGATTTGACTATCTAAAACTGTGTGGCTATAAACACAGGTGTGAATATATCACTGGGGTATGATGCTTTTAATTCTTTGGGAAAGATACCCAGGAGGAGAATGGCTGGGTCAAATGGAACCTCTAGTCCTGCTGGGTTTTTTTTGTTTTTTGTTTTTTTTTTTTTTTAGAAATCTCCACACTGATTTCCACAGTGGTTACACTGGTTTCTTTTGATTTTCTTTTTTCTTAGAATTCTATCAATTTACATTACTCATCTGTTTTTGCATATTGTCTACATTTTTTGGTAGAACCTCTTATGTACTAATCATGGTTGTTTTATAGACCCTGTCTGATAACTGCAATATCTTTGTCATATATGAACCTAGTTATGACGATTACTCTCCCTTCAGACTTTTTTGTTCCCACCTTAAACAATACTATAGGAGATCATTGTTTTGATTAAGATCCAACAAACCAGACTAAGAATCAAAATGGAGACACTCATACTTTCCACTCCACATCACTGGGTGGAAAATAAGCTTGTGGAAATTGGGAGAGAAAGAAAATGCCACATTTTCAAAACAAGCTAATTTCAGTGGTCTTAATAATGAAGATCCCACAGCTTCAACCCTGTCATAAAAAAGTGACCTGAAGTAACCTGATGTTAATCAATTATTTTTCTAGTTTTCTATCCCCATGTCCCTGCCTTTCCAAAGAAAATAACTTTGAACTGACTGATCTTCTTTATTTTGTTTCTGGTTTCTCAGCTTTTCTCTGTATATAAAACCCTCATCTTCTGTACATATCATTGGAATACTTATTCTATTTTGTGGAATGGTGTTACCTAATTCTGAAACAGAAAATAGACACAATTAAGATTTATAAACTAAGCTGTTATAATTTTATCCTTTGAAAGAGCATCCTAGAATTTTTTGTCTAAAGCCAGACAAAACAGAGTTATAGGTCCTGGTCTTGTAGTCAAGAAGTGTCGGTGTTTCTGGGCATGGAATGCAGGGCTTGGTGCATGATAGGAAAGCACTGAAGCACCGAACCATGCCCCAGGCCATCAATGGGCTTGCTATGCTTGGATGAATGTGAGTCTGTTGGCCCTGGGGCTGTATTAGTGCTGTCACAGCTCCAGGCACCAGTCTCCTAATGACTTGTGTGCACTTACTCTTCCCTCCCTTCTCTGTCTTCCTGTGTCCTGGCACTCAGCTGTGTCATGTAGCTTTCTTACCTGGAATCCACTGTTTTTCTAGACTTTGTCTCTGTGGTGGCAGCAGCTGTGGTCAATGTAGAAGGGACTGCGGGGGGTCGCTGGTCTTCTTAGTGTGTACTGGCTGCACCTAAAGTGAGCGGGGTGAAACCATTGATGCTGGTCCCTCCTGGGTCAGTGTGTCCAGTGCATTTTCACTTTGCTCTCTCGCTTTTAGATTATCCCTTTATCTATTTATTTTTCCTTAGGTATGACAGGAAGGCTAGGAAAACTGGTGGTGGGGTGAGTTCCTTTCTTGCAGCTTGAATAAGGTTTCAGTGCAGTCCTGGAGAAGCTCTTCCCTGGATAAGAGGCCTCTGTTAGGGACAAGGGTGAGGGGTTTCACAATTCAGAACAGGGAGGAAGATCGTTCCATGACCCTCACCTAGAAAAGCTGTCAAAACTATGGGTTCCCTTTGCTGCCCCACTACCCCTTCTGTACTAGGCAGCACCTTGTCAGAATTTTTGGTTGAGTGTTCCCACCAGTTCTTGGCCTCTCTAGACTTCTGCACCATCCACAGATCTCTCTAGGTTTCTGGGAGGCCATGCACCCAGACCCCGACCCTCTGATGGGTCAAGCACAATCACTGATTTCATTTGTGCAGCTTTTTTTTGTTGAAGGATGGGATGATGAATTCCAAGGCCTTCACATGTAGTAACAAAAAGCAACCACTTCCCTCTTAATGACAAGATGTATGATATATTTTTGTGAACATGGAGTCCAGGTGTCAACATCAGGGCCTCAACATGAAACAGTTCATCAGAGGGACAAAGAGGAGGTGGCCTCCTTGGCATAAATACAGGGCCTGTGACCCATTGAAAGCATGGTGTGTGTTCTTTTCTAATTCTCATTCTTTGAAAGATCTTATTGATAGGTTTTTCCAGAGCAGAGAGAAGTGAAACAGAATAAAATGCCTTTATTATAGACGCGGAAAGGCCACAAGAGAGAGAAAAACGTGGCCTCTACCGATCTTTTGTGGGGTCCGAGGTTAAATAGCCCCAGGCTGGAAGTGGGGTTTAGGAGGCGCACTGCCTGACATGGCAGACCGGGATTGGGTGGGAGCACGGGGAAAAGGGAACAGGATATTACAAAAGGGGAAGTAGGAAGTTGTAATTCGACTCAGTGGAAGAAGGGTGGGGCTTAGCACATGGCCTTTAGTGGCTTGCGCCATATTAGCTGGATGCCACGGTGACTCAGCACCATACCACATGACCTGCAGCACCATACTGGCTTGGGTGCCATAGCAACTCAGCAGGAATTACAGCGGGGCAAGAAACCAATCACTTATCAACTTCAAAATACAGGTGCATCATCAAAGCTAAAATGCCTTTGTCCTACTATGTTCAAGAATAAACTAGATGAGGTCACTGCAGGGGGACAGAGGACAAATGAAGGCTGGGGCCTCAACCTATTACTTGCTGAAAGCACGGTTTGTGTTTTCTTCCACTGGATACCATCACCATCACCACACATGTGTTCCCTGAGCAACTGCAGTGGCCTGTCCTTATCACAAGACCATGCTATTTGTGTAAGGCAGGGCATTGATGGAACAAATATAACAGGTCCTGTGATAATCTGGCCCCCAATCCTCAAGGCTGAGATGTTTGCATGGGAAAAGAAAGCACCTTTGAAACTGTGCTGGGGCCAGTGACAATTCCTGGACATTAGCCCACTGCAGCCACCCCAATAAAAACTCGCTTCTACTTTGGTAAGATGCCAGCCCAACTTTTTCTGTCTATTGGCCCCCTGTCCTGGAGGCAAAACCTTTCCAATAAAGCTCTGCCTGTGTGCTTCCTCACCATCCTTGACATAGTCTTGTTTGTACCCCCACTAGGTCAGAAGGCCCAGGTTCAGTATCCAAGAGAACTGGGCAGTGGAGAGCATCATGGAAGCAGAAAACACTGGTCATTACAAAATACATCTTTTTGTTGTTAAGGTAAATTTTGTGTTCACAATTTTGAAGAGACTTTAATAGAAAATATTTAGGAGAACAAAGGAGTGCAGCACTGTAACAACAAAAATGGGAAATAACTTGACTGTCCGATGACTGGAGGCTGTTTAGATTCACTGTTGTCTACTGGGTTGTGCCTCCTGTGTTCAAAGGAAGGGAGCTGGTACCAGGGTGAGTGGGGAGAACTGGGCAGCAAAGGACTGAAAGGGCCTGGAAAGGGCATGAGGATCCACAGGAGCGTGGGCAGAGTGGGAGGAAGTGCTGTGCTTCCTGGTGTTTGGATTGGTTGTAGTAAGTGTGAATAAACTTTGTATCTATAGGTGGGTGAAGGAGAAAGGATAGAAATTTGATTTTCACCATTTTTCTCTCTGTGGCTTTTTCCTTTTTTACCCCATGGGTTTTTCCCATTTTAGAAAATAACATGAAACAGGAAAGGTAAGCAGCACTTCATGGACAGTCTGCAGGCTCTTCCCATCCTCTCCTGGTGTGACCCTTCTCCTTTTCAAGGTCTCCACCTCCTTGCCAGCCCAGCCCCTTCCCCCATCTCTCTAGCCCTGCCCAGTGCAGCCCCGCCTCTCACTCCCCAGCCCTCTTGGCCTGCCTTGTGGCCCAGCTCTCTGGCCTTGGGCCACTCTGCCACCCTTGGCACTGACACTGTGCAGCCCTGCATGAGACCCTTGCTCCCCATGGGACAGGTAGAACTGCTTTTCAATGTTTCATTTCACATGGAGAAAACTGTTTCCAAGATGGTTAGAAATAACCAGTATTTCTAAAATGCCAGACCAGGCCTCTTCCACCCCCAGAGCTGGACTAGGACCAAAAGTTCTCTCTTTCCTCTCAGTGGATCACCCTGAGGCCTCAAGAAGCAAGGATGGCTGACATTGCCTAGAGTCCTCTCACTGGGGAGTAGCAGGCTGTAGTGAGAGAAATCACCCAAAGAAGGTCATACTACCCTTCTCCATTCTCCTAGATAGATGCCTGGGACCCCCACACAGAAAATGGGCATACTGGCATGGTCCTAGTTCTGTTTCCATTGCCCTGCTGCCAGGGTACTGCAGGTCACACCTTGCCATGGTCCTGCAGCCTAGGTATCACCCCCAGCTCCCACTGACTCCAGGCTTGCCTGGCCAGGCCTGGCCACCTTAGTTCCTGTCCTTTTGCTCTTGGGCCTGGTTGGGTTCTACCCCATCACCATGAGGCACTGTGTTACAAGGCGTGCTGAGGACACTATCCCCTGCTGTGGGAGAGACACTTAATTGTCAAGCGGAGTTTGATTTAAATCTCTGTTCTGTTTTTCTCCAGGCACAAAGCTCATGGTCAAGAAGAAATCAGAAAACCATTCTTCAACACTTCATTCTTTCAACAAGTATTTACTGAGCACTTACTCTGTCAAGTATAGTACAAAGCCACAGGTCCATGATTGAGAGAGGATGGCCTCCTCTAAGCTCTCAGCCTGCTCACAAAAAGACATTTGGCTAGCACTGTAGGGGGCTCAGACATTGTAGCCTGAAAGAACAAGAGGAGAAAGGTTCCAAGGGAGGTGTTCACCATGGTTACCCAGGGAGAAGTTCTGGAGCCTGCTGAAGAGCAGGGGCTTTGCAGCTGGAGATGAGATTCAAACCCTGCTAACCACACACACACACACACACACACACACACACACACACACACACACACTTTGTGGTGATGGGCTGTCCACATCTTGGTTTCTAGGTCTGAAAAGTGAGGATAAAAAATGCATTTAGATTGTTGTGGTGGTTGGCTGACTGATCTACTTGTAACCTGCTCACAGCTAGCCTTAGCAATGTGGTTGCAATTTTGTGGGGTAGGAGTACTAGGAGAAGGAATCAGATGTGGAGTCACAGAAATGCTGGTGCTAGGACTCCTCCATATCTCAGGTCTGGAGAGGCTGGTCTGGACCCTCGCCGCACCCTTTGAACCTAGGATATGCAGCCGGCACCTTGCATATAGCAGGCTGCAGCACTGCTGTGAATGATAGTCACAGGAGCATTTCTAGTTTGAAGTCAAATGTCAGGTACCATACGAGAGCCTTGCCACCTTGTGGGGCTACAGCCTGGACTGAAATGCCTCCCCTGCTTTCTTCCCTGCCAGAGATAATGCAGCTCCCTTCTCTCCCCTTGGGAGTTCTGGATGAACTGTGACTTCTCTGGTAGTTTGCCAGAGATCTAACCTCTCCCTGCCCGCTAAAAACAAATTTCACAGGTGCCTGTACCATCCATCCATGGCAGTGTTTTGGCTGAGGTAGAATCTAATCCTAGAGGAAGGGGATGGGCCATCTGTCCCTGAACCTGCTGCCTTGGTGCTGGGCCAGCAAGGACACCTGCCCTTTCTGAGGATACCAGCTGCATTCTCCCTTCACAGTTCTGAATGTTTGGGTGCTGTGCATCTGTTACAGCTTTGGGGATGTGTACAGCCCTATTCAAAGTGAGTTTTCCTGAAAAGGAGATGGGGACACTAACAGTATGGAGGTGGTGGAGTCACTTCTGCTACTTGAAAGTAGAATGGTGGAGCTGGGAAGAAGTAACTGGGTTCTTCCCAGACAGTATTTTTCCAACCATGGTCTCAGTTGGAGAGTGCTAGTGGAGGAAAACCATTACTCACAGAGGATGATTTGTGACAGAGGATTCCAAAACACCCATCAACAGGGGTGGGCAGAGTCTGGTCAGCCCTGGCAGGGTTGTACCGTAATGCTTGATACTGGCTGGTTCGAGACTCTTGCTTAGGTGGGGCTGCTTCTGCTCAGTGTTCTGAGGACTGAGAACAGAGATCCCGTGGGTGGGGCCAGCAGACCCTCTGATCTTACCACTTCCGTCTCTTGCCCTGAGCCTTGGACCTCATGCTTCCCACACAACACAAGCCAACAGATTGACTATCAATTTCTCATTTACAGTGTGGACCGTTTCTTTTTCCATCAGTCTCAGACCTGAGCTCCTCTCTAACATGCTGCTTGAAGAACAGTGAGGTGTTTGCAGTTTTAAGCTGTCCTTGGTCTTAGGTTTAGCTGAAAATACCTCCTCATGGAAATATCTCACTTCTTGCTTGCCTGAGTCCTGCCCCTACTTCCCCCAACAGTCTTTACATCAAGAGAAAAACATGGAGATTTGGGTCCTAGTATCTCCTGAATATGGCCATAAAGACAGTTTCTGGGAGGGTGAGCCTGTACTATGGGTGGGGCTTGGTCATGACTGGCCTGAGGGCCATCACTTCCAAGCCCCACTGCAAGCCAGGAGTCTGCGGCAGCATTTAGGGACACTTGTAGAGGAGCCCTTTACCGCAGGCTATCTAGAGTGAGGCTCAGGATTTCTGTGGACTGGCCTTGGGGCTTCCCCTGGGCAGCAGGGGCTGAGGGAGACCCACAGTCCAGATAACCCCTGTGTGCTGTCTGACCCACAGCCTTGGGGCTGCGCTGCAGGTTCAGGTCCTCCACAGAGGTGCAGGCCTGGGCACCCAACCTGGGGAGCTCCAATCTGAGCTGGCTCAGGTTCAGGATGAAGTTTGGATGCTTCTGGTCTTGTGAGCTGGCCAAGGAGGGCAGACAACAGATAGTGACCCCACTAGGGGAGCTGCTAGTCTGTTTTTGCTGCAGAAAGTTGGGGTCCCAGGCCTGAGGCTGCCTGAAGAACCCACTACCTATGTCCTGTGTGAGAGGCTGGCCATCTAAGTGCATCTGCAGGGCTGCCACATGGGCCAAACAACCCCCCGCCAGGGCAGGCCCTGCCTCTAGAGTCTTCCCCCCGTAACCAGGCCTCCAAGGGCCTTGGCATTGCCTTGGGTTTCCAGCTGGCCCTGCCCCCTTCTGTGAAGTGGGCCAGGCAGGCAGGCTTACAGTTTTGCTTTTCCTAGAAGTATCTGTTGCTGCCCTGGCTGCAGACTCCACAGAGGAGAGCGAGCCTTCAGGGTGGCCTCGGGGCCTTTCCTCCAGGGGGTGGTCCTGGGATGGGCTCGTGGTCCCCTTTGCCTTTCCCCCTGGAAACATACTCTCTCCAGCAAGCAGGCTTTGGGTGTTCAGGTGCGTCTTCTTGCCAGGTGCCAAGCATACTGTGGCGCTGCCCACATCCGGGGCCTGGTCCCTCTTGCCCTCCAGTTTTTTCTCTGGGTCTTTGGGCTCCATGGGGACAGGGCTGGCAACAGGTGGGGTACGGCGGAGCCAGTTGACAATGCCCATGGTGATGGCCAGTTCCGTGTCACAGAGCTTCAGCAGGCACTCCTTGCCTTTCCAAGAGCTCTGCAGGAAGCCCTGGCCAAGCAGGTCGGGGCTGGGTGCTGGGGCGAGGTTCTCCTCAGCCCCAACATGGAAGCTGCACATGGACAGTGGTGTCCCCAGGGCTGGGCCTGACAGGCTCTCAGACACACAGAGATCATCATCCAGGCTCGGGCCAACAGGACCCTCACTGGGATCATAGAACAGCTCATAAAGGGCATCCCCGCTATAGCTGTCCCTGGGAAAGGCAGCCGCAGGTGTGCTGGGGCTTGGGGCCTCCTTTTTGTCTTCCTCGAGGCCTGGTGAGAAGGAGTCATAGTAGCCCTCATCACTTGTGGACACAGATTCTGGCTGCTCACTTTTGGGGGTGCCTGTGTCTGTGGAGCTGGCTTTGGATCCGCTGGGAGGGCCCCTACAGGGGAACAGGGGCAGCTCGGCCAACCCAGCCACATCGGGTCTCAGCTTGGCTGTGTCTGTCCCCTGGGGCCCCTCCAGCCATGGGCCCAGCAGGGTGCACTGCTGCTGACGAAATGAACAATTGACGCTGTCCCAGAACTTAGTGAAATCAGACACCTCATTCTGGGTGGGCAAAGCCAGCTGCTCTATGCTGCCCTGGGAGGGGCCTCTGGAAGCTTTGCTCTCCAGGGCCTGAGACACCTGGGAGGGGCTCACGGGGCTGTCATTGAGCTCTAGGGTTGGCACTGAGCTCTCATCTGCAAAGATCTCTCCACAACCTGTAAGTGAGTCGAAGCTCTTGAGGGAGGCCACATCTTCACACAAGACCCGGCACAGGTCTAGAGAGTCAGGCAGGAGCTCGCTGTCAGACACGTCCTGGCCCAGAATGTCCAACCCCAGGCCTTCCTCCAGGGAGAAGAAGGCTTGACCTTGTCGCCCTGCAACAACTGATGGGTCTCCAGGGGAGGACAGGCTCTTTCCTTTGCCTTCAAGGGCAGCTAAGTTCTCAGTCTTGTTTCTGCGGATGTGGAATAGGTTCCGGAAGCACTTCTTGGGTTTTTTCAGGGAAATTCTCTTTCTTGGGATGCTCTTGGCCACAGCTGGCACAAAGGGCATCTGGGGCACAAAGTGGCGGTAGTCAATTATGTGTGGGCCACTGGGAGGCCCTGGGAAGCTTGTGCTGCCCACCAGTTGCCCTGTGGTGGTGGCTGCCCTGCTGGCTTCTGGAACACTATCATGAGTCTTGCTCTTCCGCACTAGCTTGAAGGTGGCTCCACAGAGGGCTGCAGGGCCTCCATCAGGGTGGGGCTGAGCTCCCTTATTGGGGTACCTGCCATGCCCTTGGTCACTAGGACTCACCTGGGAGCCTTTCTCACCATGGAGCCTTTGCTGCCCTCCCAGTGAGACTGACCAGGGGCCTGCGTCCTCCCTGACTGGAGCAGCAGCTGCTGAGTCTGAGGGTTTTTCATGGGAAATCTGCAGGCTGGATTTGATGAAGGTCTTTCCCCTCTTTAGCTCCATGCTGCTGGTGCCCAGTGCCTGTGGAGAAAAGCAAGAGGCACTTAGTATCAGAGACTGAGGGGACTGTGGGCTTCAGGAGGCTCTTGTCCACCTTTGCTTACACAACTGGTTCAGTAGTCCCAGTGGCTTTTCTGTGGAGGTGAGAAGATGGCTGGAAAAACCCCACCCCATCTTCATGTACCATCCCACTTTATAGACCGCTGATACGTAGAGCTGAGTCCACAGCCTAAAAGCACACAGAAGAAATAAAAATGAGAGCTGACTGCAGGCCTTGGTGATTGCTTTTCCCTGAGCTTGTGACCCATCCAAGCATTCTCTCACTGGTAGTTCAGACTCCCATCTGCAGGCCAGTTATGCACTAATAGTATCTCAGTTTACCCTCATCACCTCATCAGAAGGGACATATCATGGGCCTTCTGAGTGCATGGAGAGGACAATCCAACTCAGCAAGCTGCAGGGGGAGACAGAGCTAACAGGAACTCCATTCTTACCTACCTCTCAGATCTGAAGCAGCCAGCCATCCACGGAGTAAGTGGTGTACATTGTACTCCAGGACTAGGGGAGGCAAGTTTGGCAGCAGCAAAGCTCAGTCTAGAGAAGCTGTTAGACAAGATGCACTTCAGCATCTAGTACAGTGCATGCAGAGGTTGAAGGTAGAGAAGAAAAAGAACCTCCTAGTGTAAAGCAGAGGGGGCGTTGGTGGAGGCAGACTAGGACACAGAGTATCATAAGCCAGACAGGCAGACAGCTGTTACCTGCACACATATCACTGATAGATGAGGTTTCTGATGTCAAGGTTGAGTTCCATGGGAATGGCAGTGGGGTCTGCCTTGAGTGTAGGACTTGGATTAGGTAACACAAAATCTGAGGCAACTTGATTGTCCTGGCACATCTGGGGGATATGGCCTTATGTTCAAGTCAGTGAAGCACTGTGGAAGTCTTGCTGATGAATGGTGGAAGAAGGGGGATTTAGAAGACTGGTGCATCTGACAGTTGGGTATAAGAAAGTAAATGAAGGGAGTAAGTCCAAACAGGCTGAGGTTGGGCAGTAAGGCAGACGCCACATTGGTGGTAAAGTTCCAAGTTCTTCCCTAAGGTGCAACACCAGGATTTACTAACCTCAAGAAGAAAAAGAAGCAGGCACTCAGTCCTGGGTTGGAGCGCTCAGATTCATGCCAAAAGAGTGGGACTGACTGACCACAGAGGGAAAAGTCAAGGAAGAAGGATGGCAGGAGCAAAGCAAGGCATGGGGTTGGGGTGGGGACCACACCAGGAGCAGATTTGGAGGAAAGGAGTAAGGGTCTACTTTTAAGCATGCTTCCCTTGGGGTAAGTGTGGAGATCCTCAGGAACCAGAAAAGAGAAGAAGGCCAAAAAAACCTCCTCTGAGAGTCTCTCTGGTGTGCACCCTTATGGCCTCTCCTTTGGTGGAAATGCTTCCTGTCTGCCACTTTTCCTTTGCCCCCTATCCTCAGCAGTGAGTGGTTTGAGGGTTGCCCTATGTCAATCTCCCCAGGGAGAGACTGGGGGAGAGAGATTGTGGCTGGTTTCTTTGACTGTCCAGGAGGACTGCTCTGTGGGCAGCCCCTGCATTCACTCACCAGCTCCCACCTTGGAGGGTGCCTATAGCAGGCAGAGGACAAGTGGCTCTGTCAGCCTGCTTGCCTTGTAGAAGCACCACCAAGGAAGCCTCACAGTACTCCCAGACGTTTGCTTGACAGGTACAGGGTGACAGGGTCAGTGCAAAAGTCCCTGAGATGCCACATTAAGAACCCAGGTGGGCAGAGGGCCTATCTCACAGCCAGATTGGTAAAGCTGTCATTTCAGGGGCCTCCACCTGTTCCTGCCTGTGGGTAGCACTTCCTCCCATCCAAGTGGTACCTGGGACTCTTGGCTGGAGAAGAAGATAAAAAGGGGGGGGGGCATGCCCAACAGAACTGCAGAATCTGGACTCAGCATCTTGGCTTGGGGAACAGTGCCCCAGGCTTTCATGTTGGCTTGTCTGCCACCTGCCAGATGGCATGTGCCCAAGTGTTTCCCAACCTGCACCTGCAGGCACTGTTCCACTCCATACATCCCTCTGCAGCCTAGATAAGGCCTCACCCAGCACTAACAAGCTGTCCAGCACACAATATCGTCCTTACTATCTGAGCCCTCCAACCCAGGACTGAGTGCCTGCTTCTTGGTGTCAGACTACCCAGACTTGAGTCTTGGTCATACTCACCTAACTAGGAAGGCAATTTAGTCCATAACCTTATAAAGGAGAAAGCCAAAAGTGTCCTCTGAGAATCTCCCTGGCATGCACCCTCACTGTCTCTCCTTTCACCCTGAACATGGAAGTGCTTCTTGGCTGCCAGTTTTAACACCCTTTTTACCAAGAATAAGTTCAGATTCAGATTGGCCCAGGTCACACAGGTGATAAGTGACAGAGCTGGGATTTGAATCTGATATTCTATGAATTAATAGCCCAAACTGTCTTTTGTTAGAAATCTAAGGGTACTATAATATAAATGTGGTCTTGGGGTGAATTTGGGAAAGCACAATGAAACTGAATATACTAGGTGATGAGGGTAACCTGCAGAAATTTAGTAAAAATATAATTGAAGGTGTAATTTCAATGGCAAGCATTTTGGAGACATTCATTATACTGTCTTTATTTCACCTTTTTTGTGTGTTTTGAAAAAAAAATTGCTCATCTTTGGAAATAACATCAAGCAGACCGAAATGAGGATTATTTTACTGTGTGCAAAATTCTAGAATTACAAGAACTAAAATGGTTTATTTGACAGAATAGTCAACTGATCTAAATTCATGAACAAGTGGAAATTTCACTTTCTGTGAACTTGGAAAATTATCCCTTAAAATAGCTACAAGTTGCTCATGTCACCAAGCCTACTTCTGAGTCTATTTAGCACTCTGTACATGGACAGGGCAAGTACTAAAGTGCAGGACAGTGCACTGGATACATCAAAACTATGACAATCATGTGTTCTTTAGTCTGTAGTCAGTTTCTACATTAAAACATTTATCATTCCTGTCTCTCTGGAGATGTGTATGGATGGACCTGCAGTCTGGCAGGAGGCAGGCTGAGCAGCCACCTTCCACATCGGTTCTCAGGGACAGAATAGGATTTATGTGGACAGTCAAATGCTGGCACTGTCACTGCCTGAGGGTAGTGGACAAATGTATGTAGGATCTCAGTTGCCAAAATGCACAGTCTACTTTCTAACTCCGTGATTACAGATCTGTCAGTGGAAACTCAGCCCCAAATATGACAGATCCTTCTCTGCCACATCTCTCCCCCCAAAAAGTAGTCTGTCCCTCCCTTTCTCGTCTGCAGTGCTCAGTAACCACCAATTATTCATTCCGGTGTTTGTTCTTGCTCCTCAATAAACAAAAAATTCCAAAGCAGAGGACTCCAACTATGCTACACTGAGTTGTTACTTATTTAGATGAAATTCTTTGTATTTGAGACACCTTAACCATTTATTTACATCCAAGTTTCATAAATAGGATGCTGGGTCTGGAACTTTTCATTCTAAAAACAGTTTTTTTGCCTCATTTTCTAAGATATGTCTCAGTGACAACCACAAGCCTGGAATAAATCTCTCATTTCTAAAATGAGCTTGCAAATTCCATGAAGGCAGAGACCACACACTGTATCCATTTAATCAACTCCATTTTAAGGAGTGATATTTAAACCAAAGCTAGAACATAGTAGAGGACAACCTGGTAAAGATGTGGGAAACCTATTCAGTCAGAGGAAACACCCTGAAAACAAGCTCAGATGAAATGAGACTATTTAAAGACCTGAAGGTGGCCAGTGTCCAGAGCAACAGACCAGTGGGCTAAGGCAGTAGACTGACCAAGTAGACCAGCCCCAACCTGAGGCTTTAGAAAGGGCCCCAGCCTTTATCCTGCAGGCCATAAGGAGCCAGCCTTCAACAGCAAATGAGCAGCCAATTTTTAACTTTCACAAGTGACTCCAGCTACAGAAGAAATGAAAATTTGGGTCAAAGGAGGAGGTAAGGGGATGGGTTAGAAGCCAGACTACAGTTTAGTGGGGAGAAAATAATGACAGAGATGTTCAAGTTTGTAATCAACCCCCAGCATGCACATGGACATGGACTTTTTGCAAATTGAGCACATGGACATGGACTTTGAGCACATTTGCAAATTGAGCACATTCATTTTACTAGCTGTTTCTATATGACGATTAACTTCAGCTCTCCTGTCTAAGCTTTCCTTTTTCCTTTAAGAAGGTAATGCTGTGCCTTTCTTTCTTTCTTTTTTTTTCTTTCCTTTTTAAACATGGACATGATTGAGTGTTTGATTTCATGGAGCAAAATAAAAAACCCCGAGGAACGCACATGCAGCACAAGCGCTTTAAGGCATAAAATACTTACCTAGTAGTTTTGGCATTTGCCATGCCTCCCACTGTCCAGCCCTCAGTATCTGGGAAAATCAGTAATGAAGTAAAAAGGGTATGTTGTGGCAGGAAGCACAGGCCTCGGAGCGGAGCTTCCGGGAAGCTGGGTGGGTGGAGGCTATGGGGCGGGACTGCGTCTCTATAACAGGGGGCCTTGCCATTGGATGGATGGAGGGATGGCCCCTGTGGACCGAAAGATCCTGCGTTCTAGGGTGGGGGCGGGCTATAAAGCAGAAATAGAATCCAGGGTGGAGAACATCATCCACCCACCCCACCCCCACGCCGAGGAGACAAAGGGCCCTTTGGGGAAAGAAAGGTCTGGCCCATCTTTTCTCAGAGCGCCCCTGGGTGTTTCTCACCTGCCTACTTGAAAGAAGATTGGCTCTACGACCGTATTCATTCCTCCCCAGGCCTCAGCGTCTTAGGAGGGAGGGTGTTCCCATTCCTTAGCCTAACCTAAAAGGGTCACCGCCTTCAGACCCCGAGTCCCGCACCTGGGAGCTGGGCACCGCGGGGATGACCGAGCCCCGCCCTGGTCCTTAAACTCAGCCCTCCCATTCCTGGAGACAACTCACGAGATTCCCGCATCATCTCCTCCTCCCCGCCACATCCATACCCTCAGGGAAGGGACTGACCTAGCCGTTCAGGGCCTCGGAGACTTACCCTGGGCCTCGGGAGTGTCCCAGGGCGCAGTAGTGACCCGGCGGGAGCGGTGCCGCGCGAGCTGAGCGCTCAGCACCACGGTCAGCGCCCAGCGCCAGCGGGAACCCGCGGCGCGCACCAGCCCAGCTCGCAGCGAGGGCGGCGAAGTCTGAGCAGCGGGCGGGGCGGGGCTGAGGGCCGCGTGCGCGGGGCGCCCTCCTCGCTTTGTGTTTCTAGTCCCTGTCTCCACCTCTGCCTCCGTCGCTTCTCTGGGTCTCTGCCTGCCGCAGGGCTGTGGCTTTGCCTCCTAAGGCCCAGGCACCTGCCCCCGGTGCAGTCCCAGCTCCGCGAAAGCACAGGTGTGGGTCCCCTCCGCTGCAGCTGGAGCTAGGGCCGCGGACTCCAGCAAGGGTGTTATCCAGGATTCCGAGCAGGCTTGCAGAAGGGGCCAGCCAGCGTGGGCAGATGAGGCAGAGCCTTCTTGACGTGCCTTTCTGGACCTAGTTCTATTACTAATGGTGATGAAAGAGGCACTTTCCCTACAGGTATTACTGCGTAGGGTCTGCTGGCGCTGTGCCACGCTGCAGGCTGCAGGAGGAGAAATGGTGCAGGCTCCCTCCCAGCAGGGTGCAGGACAAGGAGTGGAGTGGGCAGGGATACGTTACGGAGTGAGTAATTCAGGGACTCAGAGTGGGTGCCAGTGAAGAGCTGAGCCCCAGAGAGGGCTGGCAGCTGAGGCGAGTGTAGGCGGGAGGGGTGGACACAGAAGGCGTCCGCAGGGTCTGGGGCTGAGACCCCAAGGAGAGCAGGATTCCCGTGGTGGACAAGGCTATGACTTTCCTGTGCTCTGGAGGCTCCCTTCCTAGCCCAGTTTGACAGACAAATTCCTGGACACAAGGTGCTTCTCCCGTTGATGTGGGCTGATTTGGTTTGGTCTGACAAGAATCTAGACACCTCTCCCCTGGAGCTGGCTTCCCAGCCAGGATGACCCAGCACCATTGTTCGAGCTACCTTCCTCCATTTCTTAAAATTGAACCTTCTTCCTAGCAGTGGCTGACTCAGTCTCTCCCCCCTCCCCCGCCCCCACACACACTGTTGTTGGTACAGTCCTGACTTTTCTGGAAGTTCTGGCCATCAGGATTCCTGCAACATCTTCCACTATGCAGTGGCGCCGAACCTTTCAGAGCTTTTAATGATACAAACACCCCACTGTGGCACATGTGCCATAGGTTCGGCACCCCGAGGGCCTATGAGTACAAGCAAAAGTAGATCCCTGCCTCCTTGCCATGTGCCTAGAATCCAAGGATAGGATTCATTCCACAGTAGAGTCCTCTTAATTCGTGAGCATCAGCCTGTTACTGTGATCTTTTGCATTTAAGGATTTCTTATATCTCTTATAATTTAATAAAGATAATTATGTACTCAGGGATTGGTATTCTAAATAGGTAGCAATCATCTTGAGGAGTCCTTGACCCAACCCCTACAGGAAAAGCCCCTATTCTTTATTCATACCAGTTTGCTATGTGACTCACTTCCCCATTTGATCCCAATTTAATCAATTCTACCTGAACAATTCTTATTGTCTGACCATAGTTTTGTCCATTTTCCCCTACCTTGGATCCACCTCACCTGGTTTTGCTCTATAAAAGTCCCTAGAAAAGACAGGGTCTTGGGGTAACCCACTTGGGCCCCCCTTCTGTCCCTCTCTTGGACAGAAGCTTACTTTTCTTTCCCTCAATAATAAATATATTCTGCTCTTAATCTCTGTTGTTCCTAAAATTCATTCTTTGATTTTAGAGAACGTGAACTCATCCCAGATATTATTCAGGTTGGGAGTTTTTATTTTGCTGTATCACTCTTAGTGCAATTTAACTCTAATTTTTGGTCTCCAAACCTCAGTTGTTAAACATCCAGCAGAGAAGATTAATGACATACCATTGTAAGAGAGACAGTAAGCTTAATATTATAATCGATCTGAATAGCAAACACCTTAGAATATACAAATTTTTGTTGTTGTTGTTTTTCCAGTTCCTGGAATCAAACTCACTACCTTGTGCTTGTCAGGCAGGTGCTGTAACGCTGAGCTAAATCCCCAGCCCTAGAATATACAAATTGAACCATTATTGTTTAACAACCATGGGTATCCTAATATTTAAATCCTCATAGAATGTTAACAAACAACAGTTACATATTTTTACTTAACACTTTAGAAATCAAAGCCATATATAACATTGCTACATGACAATCATGATAATATTTTGTAACATACTTAAATTTTCATTTTGACATAGCATGAACCAATTATCTGTATCTAATATATAATAAGCTTTAATCTAATTTGTTGTCCTTTAATGGGATATACATCACAAGTTTTTGTTAAAGGTAGAAGTCTTATTCTGAAGGAAAGTCTTATCACAATAAATAATCTTTGTTTTACAGTTTGGAAGACCTGTACATCCAGAATCATGAATACATTTAATACACTATGAGATTAACACTAGTGAATTACCGTACACATGTGAAAACCTTTGTTAAAATTTAATTTTGTACCAAGAGCATCTTTTATGAGAAAACCTTACTATAGTTTTTATGGAAAAACTTTCTTTTGACCAAATGACCCAATTATTGGGGTGTCTTCCAAGAGACTATGGAGATCACTGGGGGCTCCTTATTAATGAATAAAGGTTGGCCACTTCTCCACCAATTGGAGTCCTACCCAAATAATTTCTCCTCATCCTAAGGACTGTGTTTAAATACCTTAATTTTGATATTATTTAAACCAGCTGGTAACTCAGGTGAAAACATGCTTTTAAATCCATAACCCAATTGTATTATGAACAAATGATAAAAGAAATATTGTTGAGCTCAAAATAAAGGAGAACAGCTGTTCACTGAATGACAGACAAACATGTAAAGAAGTACACAGAACAAACAAACATCTTTACAAAATCAGAGGGTACTCAAATATGTTTTTGACCAAATTGAATTACAGTAACTCTATTACAATTTCAGAAATTTATAACTTAAATAGACTAGTCAGATTTTGTTGTCAATTAGCAGAGATCTCTTATCAGAAAAATTTGGATAAAACACAATCCTTAATCTATAATGAATATATATATATGTATGTTCTTTGTATTTTATTATGTCTTAAGAATACTGAAAATTTTCAGCTCACTTATCTCTATATACTCTGTCATTTATTTAAATCTTTAATTCCCATTTTGATTACTATTTCCTGGGCCTTTTAGGTCAATTTCTTTGGTTGGCCTCAAGTCAGGTTTAGCCTCATCTTGTCTATGGGCTGTAAAACAGTCTCTGAGGCATCACTGTCACAGGACTGTACTTCAGCTTCCTGAAAGGTAGAACCAACTTCTTCTCCAAATCTGAGTTCATGATATACCCAGACAGCAAGCTCTGGTACCCAAATAGGTCACTCAGCATTCTCTGGAGAAACAGAAGTATACCCTCTACCCCACATAAGTGGTGGACTGGGTCCTTTCCATTGTCTGGTATGGAGATCTCTCCAAACGACTCTTCCTAACGTTTTTTTCTTTTACCTGATGGAATTGTCTTTCTGCTGCTGTACTTCCATCTTTTGTAAAATTTTAAAAATTTAATTAGTATATATCAACAAGTGAAGTGGGAGGGGTTGACTCCCCTTTTGTTTTTGTAATTTGAATTTGGATCATAATGTGAGAAACCTGTATCCAAAAGTTTGGAAGAGGAAGCCGTCATATAACCTCCTTTAATCTGAGATGACCCATCGGTGAAAATAGAAGCAATTTGAAATAACTTGTCTGAAGAATAGTGACAATTAATAACACCAGAGAAATTAGTCTAAAATTTGGATGGAGCCAATTAATAATACCAAATAGTCTGAAAATAATTTTAGATTGATCTAACCAGTTTGGGTAAATTGTCTGTTGGAATAGGTGACCCAAATATGAAAAAGTTATCATAGCTTGTACTCTTTGGAGGCCAACACTAGGCCTGCCATTATTTAAACGTGATGTCAAAATCAAGTGACTGTTTAAACCGCACTGCTTTTAGACTGTATTTTAAACTTTTATATCTATTTGTAAAATACTAAAGCTTTTTTATACCAATTTAATTTTGGACTGTAAAACAGGCAATCAACATCACTAGGAATCACGAGAGCACCAAAGGCTCACAAAAGCCCCCAAATTGTTCTGGACTCGCAACCAGAAACGAACCAAATGGTACCGACCGACCGACAAACACCAAGACACACGGACTGCCAACTGGAATTTAGGACGAGCCTTTATTCCTGGCCAGGGACTGACTGAGAGCCTCCACGCAGGGAAGGATCAGACCAGTGCCCATCCAGGGACGAGAGTACCTTTTATACCCTAAAACTGCATCCTGTTTGGCAAACACATGTCACATCTGTAACTATGAGGGGACTCTTTCTTTTTTTTTTTTTTTTATGGCCGGAACAGTACATTCCAAGAATCTGGGAGGGTAGAGCATTTACGGAAAGAACAATACATTTTGGGAGTCCAGGAAGGACAGGGCGTTTACAACTAGTTTACAACCATACATTCCAGGAATGGTAGACATGAAGATCTAACCCCACGGCAGGGGTGGGAACTGGGAATTAAACTAGAACCTTTGATGTCTGTGGTGGGGCTTTTACACAAATCAGCAACAAATCCTGTATATGATGTCAAGAAGAAAACTGTAATTAAAACAAGGCAGTTTTATTAGCTGCATAATCTAAAATGAGGAAATTTTTTGGCTCTAACTCTAAGAGACCAAATCCATCACTGAACTATACATTTTTTGAGACAAGGGACAAGGTTTTATTTATAGAAACTATGGGGTTTTTAATAATCTTTTAAAAATATCTCCCTTCCTATAAACCTCAGAAAATATGATTTGTTTTAAACTAAAGGCAAACTTTTTATCTTGAGGATGGAAACAGCCTTTTAAATTCATCACCTTAAGGGGAAAATGTAAAAGCTTTTTTTTTTTTTTTAATTCTGCTCTGCTCTCTGTGAGCGTTTGTTCCTTGGAAGCTATTCCCAGAAGAATGGCCTTTTTGCATCCCTCAAAGTCAGCAGTTCAGCCCCTCCTTTAAGCTAGGAAATACCAACCACAGCCTATGGAGCTGCAGCTGCCACACCCGGAGGCCA